GTTTCTCGGAACGGGAACCAATATTAATTACCGGATTTCGCTTAAACTACATATAATATAGTTAGTTACTTAAACAATACTGATTAACTGCCTATGGCTTAATATGATTTGCCCGTCTCTCTCTCTCTCTCTCTCTCTTCACTCTCTCGACTTTCAATTGGATTGGGCTTTATCCGATTCGATTCAAGTGATCTTTTGGCTCTTAGAACACGCGAGATCACGTCCGTAGGCAATCGATCAATATTAATTGATTGATTAATTGAATTTAGACATCCAGCCGGTTATCATGGTCAGCTGGCAGGCAGACCCACACGCCCGGCGACCAAGGCGTAGCGCAGAGCTCAGCTTAGCCGGGAAGAACCCGACGATCGGGCAAAAGTGCTCGAGACGTTTCTACGTACAGTATCGTTAAAGTTTTGTTTTCTTTGTGGCTGTTGCTTAATGGAAAGATCACCGGCAATCAAAACCGTTGCTGAAGAGAGAAAGAGAGAGAGAGAGAGAGGGAGAGAGCTAGGGATAGGGAGAGTGAGAGAGTGAGACACAGCGGCACATGGTGGAAAAGCAAAAACAAATCAAAACAAAACAAAACAAAATGAAGCAAAAACAAAGCAAAAAAAAAAAAAATAAACATAGCACAACACACAACAAAAGCAAAGGCGAAAATAATAGCAAATAGAGCAAAAAAGCAAAATAATTCCATCGCAACAGCGAACCCTGCGGGGGCGCCTATATAAAGCACCGGCCGGCAAGCCGAGCTCCACAGTTGAGCTAAAGCGACGATGGCATCAACGACGATCACACGGATTCTGCCAGCGGTAACGCTGCTGCTGCTGCTGCTGCACTGCAGCCATGGCGCCGCCGAGGAGCCAATCTGTAAGGCAACGAACTGAACACTCGATGCGAATTGGAATGTTGACTAATATATATCGAAATAATTCAATTGCAGATCGGTTGTGTGTGCCCCAAATCTATTTCAGCGATTGCCAGAAGCTGCTCGAAGATCCATCCGAGGCGGGCATACGCATGGAGTGCGTATCGGGACGCGATCGCATCGAGTGCCTGGAGCTGATCGAGCAGCGCAAGGCCGATGTGCTGGCCAGCGAGCCGGAGGACATGTATATGGCATATCATCGCAAGAATGAGGATTATCGTATCATATCCGAGATACGCACCCAGGAGGACAAGGATGGTGAGTACTCCCAATGTGCGAGAAATGGTAATTGGTTGTTGCCAGCAATAATAACACATAATGTGGCCCATTGGCTCACAGTTTCAATTAGGCGATTGTTATCATTAGGCGATTTTTAGAACAGGATGATATGACGGCTGACAGGAAGTGAGATAGTCAGGGACCAGAAAGACAGTTTATTTTATTGCAAACAAAACTATATACACAAAATCACACACAAAACCAAAAAAAAAAAAATTATCTGTTAGCCTTACTTGAGAGGTCACGAACCTCGCATAAAAAGGCGATATTTCAAAATGTTTCTGTTTTTTTATTTGCGGCGGTGCAGATCGAGTAAGGGACCCAAACTTGATCTCCATGTAGGCATACATACGTACATATATAGTCAAGCATTTGATTACAGAAATCTAGTGTCTCTCTTACTTTAACAATTGTGAATTATTCGATTTGCGGTATTTGAATTCCAAAAATGAGCCTGTGAACATGAACCGAAATATTAACAAGGTGGCAGCAGTCTAGTGAAAATGAGCCGTTAAATTTGAATAGAAAAAAATCAGCTTTATGCAATTAGGTAGAAAAGAAATGAGAGAAAAAAAATAAGAGAGAAAGCAGCTTTATACAAGATTCAAAAAAAGGTACATAATAATCTCTAAGAATTTTGAAGAAGTAAAATTGTGAAATATTAAAAGGTTAAAGAGTAGAGAATCATATTATTTGCAATGCAGCACTAAAATAAACATAACTCAAATTAAAAATAAAAATAATGTGTAGCAACCTTTGAGCATGATCTAAAATATTAACCAGGTGGCAGCACTCAATCGAAAATGATCCGTTAAATTTGAATATGAAAAGCTTTCTATTTGCAATTATTTTTATTTCAAATAAGAGAAACCTGTGCCAATAAGCTGGGTAAAAATTTCCTTGAATTTAAATAGAAAAACCCGCTTTTGAGTAAAAAATAAGGAATTCTGAAAAAAAGCCTGTGGACTATTAAATCGTGACAACCAGCTATTTTCAATGCAAGTCTGTGAAAGTGAACTGAATTAAACACCCTTTACGTTTCGATTGAGAACTCAGCCTCATGCAACAGTCAATATTTAAAATTTCTGCTTAGGAAATCTGAAAGAATGAGCCTCTTAAAATAAAGTGAACTATTGAACAGTGAAATTTAAATCGAGAGCTATATCTAGTTCACGATTGAATTATATAAAATAAATACAATGTACAGGGATTTAGATCCAGGCGTGATATATGCAAAATAAAATTTCGTTTGTGCCGAAATTTGGACTCGAAAATCTTAGCCCAGCCCAGTTTAAAAGCAGTTCCTGATTTCCAGCTGATTTCCGCTATGAGGGCATTATCCTGGTGAGGAAATCATCAGCGATACACACGCTGCAGGAGCTGCGCGGCGCCAAGTCGTGCCACACGGGCTTTGGCCGCAATGTGGGCTACAGGATTCCGATTACCAAGCTGAAGAATACGAACGTGCTGAAGGTGTCCGCAGATCCGCAAATTTCGGCTACAGAGCGAGAGCTCAAATCGCTGTCGGAATTCTTTACGCAATCGTGTTTGGTGGGCAACTACTCGGCGCATCCGGAGACGGATCGCCTGCTCAAGAAGAAATATGCTAATCTGTGTGCGCTATGCGAGAAGCCGGCCCAGTGCAACTATCCGGATAAGTACAGTGGCTATGATGGTGCCATACGCTGCCTGGACAAGGGCCAGGGCGATGTCGCCTTTACCAAGGTGCAGTTCATCAAGAAGTATTTCGGCCTGACCGGCAGTCCGACGGCGCCGCCAGCAGAAGGCAAGCCCGAGGACTTTGAGTATCTGTGCGAGGACGGCACACGTCGCCCGATAACCGGACCAGCCTGCTCTTGGGCCCAGCGCCCCTGGAGCGGCTATATATCCAACGAGCAGGCTGTGCACGGCACAGAGAAGCTCCACCAACTGCAGTCGCGTCTGGAGCGCTTCTTTGCCAATGGCCTGCACGCCCAGAATCAGGAGGCAGCCGCCCATCTGCTCATCAATCAAAATGCCTTTTATCACAGCAAGCCGGAGGCCATCGATCCCAAGGTCTATCTGGAGCGTGCCGGCTACAAGGATGTGATCGAGCGCGATGGCAGCGCCATACGCAAGCTGCGCCTCTGCACCCAAAAGGATACTGAGTTTTCCAAGTGCCAGGCTCTGCATCGTGCCGCCTACGCCCGTGATGCGCGCCCAGAGCTCGAGTGCGTCCAATCCACCGACTGTATTGAGGCGCTCGCCACCAACAAGGCTGACATGCTGGTCGCTGCCGCAGCCAACTATGCGGATGCACGGGAACACAAGCTGCTGCCGCTGGTCTATGAGCAACTGGACGCTGATGAGTTGCTTGTGGCCGTGGCTCCGCCCACCCTCAACCGCGATGCGCTGCAGAAGGCTCCCATGTAAGACAAACGTTCCTACTGTGTGTGGGTGTGTGTGTGTGTGTGTGTGTGTGAAATCCTGCAGCAAATGACCCCAATCCTATTGCCTACAGACACTTTGATGCCACCAGCGAACGCGCTCGATTGAGTGCCGCCTTGTTGAACAAGCGTCGCAGCTTGGACTGGTGCAACATCTTGCCCAGCACGGAGCAACAGCTATTGATTGTGCCCGCGAAGCAGCTGGAACAGCACAAGGACTGGCAGCTCGTCTGCCCCACGCTGGAGCGTCGCCCCGTTACCGACTTTGCCAACTGCAACGTGGAGGTGCAGCTGCCACGCGCGATCTTTGCCCGTGCCGACACCACGCCCGTCGAGCAAGAGACCATCAAGCATCTGTTTGCCCTCATCTCGGAGCGATTCGGTGCCCATGGCAAGTTCGTCGATGTCTTTGCACTCTTTGGCGAGTACCAGCAGGGCGAGAAGAATGTCCTCTTTGACGTAAGTCCTCAAATCCAAGCCAGTTTCCATTTAATTCACGCTCCGTCTTCCTGCAGGACAATGCCGTCGAGTTGGTCACGCAGCTGAAGAGCGACTACCAGAACGAGCATATCTACAATGATCTGCATTGCGATGCCAACAAGATTGCCAAGCAATAATAAGTGGGCGTGGCATTTGCATCGGCAGCCCCCATTATTAACGAATAGATATGCATACTACTTTTTTTTTTTTTTGCTTTTTCCTAAATACATACATATGATGATACAGTATTTGTTTCCTTATAATAAGTTCCGGGTGAATCGCTGAATCATTATCGAAAGCTTGAATTTCTATAATTTACAACGGATTCTGGATTTGTCTGAACTTCACTGGTTTTGCTGAGCTCCAATGATGAAATTTGTGAATTACATTTTTGTGACTGTCAAAATGTATGTGGACTTTCTATAGGAGTTGCCCTTAGTCTATTCTATCTTTTCCTAAGATGGCAACTAAATAGCTCAACGATAACTTTAAATCTTAATTAAAGATAAAAGGGCTTCGATTCGAAGCGCTGCGGAATTTTAGTTTCAATTGATCCTGAGTCGAACCCAACCCGAAACATATTTTTTTCAGAACAATATTTTTTTGTTGAACTCTCTTGATTTTGTTATTGCCGCGTCAATATGAAGAACTAACTGGTTTTGATGTAGATATGCAAAATATTAATCAACAGTAAATTGAAAATTGTCCAAAAAAGTCAGACACAAATTTGAACCATAGCCTCAGAGAGATGTATAAAGCCAGAAACTGGCACCGGAGCGTTGGTTCGACATCACGAACATGGCGCTTGTTAAGGTTTTAGTCGACTGAGAGAAAGATATGTATTGTTAATGACCATGACCAGACCGAAAAGAAAACATATTTCATTGGTTTTGCTTTTACAAAATACATCTTTAATATATTTTGGGCAAATGGAACCAATCAGCTAGTGTATATATATGTATACATATATTATATTTTATATATAGATTTTATAATTGTATATATGTATGTAAAATCGAAAAAAAAATCGCTTGTTTCTCACTAGTTGCAATTGGGGAGTGGGAAAGGGGGTTGGGGGAAAGGAGGCTGCAACCTTCACTTAGGTATACGGAGTTGATCTGCCAAATTGACAAAAGAAACAGGTCGGTTTGCAAATTCGTTGATCTCCGCGTTGGGGGAGCGACTTCATTTAGTCGGATGCTTCGCGCTGCTGTTGCTCCGATGCGGACTCTGGACCGCTGGCCGTCTCTTCCTCCTCCGAGTAGTCCTCGTCGTGGGTGTGAGTGACCACAGTGGGCGTAGACGGGCGTGTGTGCACAATGGAGCTCTGCAAACAAATAGTAGATTAGATATGGTTGCGCTTGCATTTATATTAATTCCACCTGGGACTCACCGCACGATGCAAATCCTTGGGATCCTTGCCGACAGTCGCGGGCACGTCTGCTACTGCAGCCAAAACTTCATCAGTGCGCGGAGCCGAGCTGAGCTTGGATGCGACGTTGCTGCTGCTGCTGCTGGTGCTGGTGCTGGTGGTGGTGCCAGTGGTGACGGAGCTGCCGGTACAGATACCCTCAAGCGCCGCCGAAGAAGTACTTGACGTTGACGCCGCTGTGGGCGGCGGATGGGCCTGATCGTGGGCGACCGTCGACTCGTGGGGTAGCAGCATGGCCGGTGCACGGAACATATAGGAAAATGGATAATAGATGAGATTGAGCAACGTCGCGGCATAGACATCGGCGTATCGCACCACCTGGCTGGAGAAAAAGGTCTGGCGGGAACCAGAGCGGAATAGGGAGCCCATCATGCCGTACGACATGTCCATTTTGTGTGTCACATCCCGAATGCAGGTGCGCAGCTGTGATATGTCCGGCTTGACCTTGGCACTCGAGTCCAGATCGCGATACAGATCGCCCAGCTTGATGTCCAGATTCTGTAGCTCTGCGAACAGTTGGCACTCATCCGTCCACACGTGCAGCTCGCGCACCAGCTCCGGCACGATGAGGAACGTGCGCCAGCCGCGAATCTTCTTCGACTTGAGTATATCGCCAAAGATGTGATCACCCACATACAGCACATCCTTGCCCTTGGCATTGATGAACTTGGTGAATAGCTCACACGAACCGCCCGAATACACCTGACCCGGCTGCAGTGGCCCAATGTGGGTGCCAATCTTCAATCCGCCCGTCTTCGTGTCCACCTGTCGCAACACCGTGCCCTCGTCGAAGAACAGCGGCTTTCGTGCATCGACCACGATCACATCGAAGTAGCTCTTCCAGTCCCGATGCGGCTCATCCGCAGTCGCTCCGTGAGGAAAGTCAAACAGATAGCTCATTATCTCGTTGGTGTACGTGTAGTCGCTGTTGGTCAGCATAAAGAGCTTTGCGCCCGACTCACGTATGCGCGACAGAACCGTCGGCAGCCGTTTGTCCTTCTTCACATAGTACGCCATATTCTGCAGGAAGGACAAAAGGTTCGGTAAAGTTATAGCACAATCCTTAGTATAGATACAGTTCTTGTTTGTGGTTAATTATTTTGAGATTGGCGGGAGAGAGATTCGATCCTAGAGAGAAATTTCTGTTCTGTGAGAATAGTAAAACCTTCTTCGTCTTCCATGAAGCCCACTTTTTGGAAAACCCATTCTTTATGGCATCCAAATGAGTGCGTATGCTAAAGCCCACGAAAAATGCTTTGTTTTCTTTTTGAATTTTGGGGTAATGGGGGAAGCATCCTTAAAATGATTAATGCTGTATCTGTATATACTCTAAGAAATCTTACGACCCAAATTAATTGTATTTAGCTCTTAAAACTTGGACGTCGATATCGATAGTTCGAAATAAACTTGATCCTTTCGTGGGCTTGGAGGATGGACTTTCCAAATTTCAAGTCTGTGCTAATGATAAATCGCAAGGGGAGCAGAAGATCGTTTCTCGGCAAGAACAAGGTGAACAATGTGACTTAAAAATGAGTTGAGTGCAACATACAATTATTTATTAAAGGGCACTTGGCTCACCTGTGTGGTACGACGCTTCAGATCGCCATCGGAATGCACCCAGTCGACGGCTCGTCGCACGTCCTGGAAAATCGACTTATACGTAAATAGAAAATCACCAGCTTTGATGCCGCGTTCAACGCTGTTGGGTAAACGAGTAGACATAGATAGATAGATAGAGAGTGAGAGAGAGAGAGAGAGAGAGAGAGCGCGAGAGCGAGCGGGAGAGAGTAAAAGAGTGAGAGAGAGAGAGAGAGTTAAAAAGTGGCATGTAGATGTAGACGGGGATACTCGAGTCTTACAAAATGTAGACGTGAGCTTGTCTCAGACTCTTTGCGTGGAACTCACCGAACAAAATCTTTGCTATTGGTAAAGAAATCGGTCAGACAGGCCAGCAAATAGGTTTCGGGCAAGTTGAATAGAGTGTTCAGTACGTAAACCCTGGACTCGTCCAGCTTGAGGAACTTGTTGGGATACAGCTCGTACACCTGGTGGCTGTGGCGGGAAGAGGGCAATTGATTAATTGGGGTTGCGCTAATGCACGTACAGTGAAACCTACTGTTTGATGAACTCAAAGCCATGCACACAAACAAGAATATTGCCATAGGCATCCACCTTCAGCAGATTGCCATAGAGCGTGTCGAACCAGAGGCCACGCACTGGAAATGTTGGATCATATTCGAACTGCAATATCTCCTTTGGATAGCCCATCGAGACCAGACGCTCCTTCACCAAGTTGAAGCCCAGCTGCTCATATTGCGGTGATTTGTATTCTAAATGTTGCAAATTTTCGAAATAAGTGCGAATTACATATGTAGATAATATGAACAGTGGCTACTCACCCGCGAGAGTATAGTCCATGTCGAAGCCATAGTACTTGATATTCTCCAAATGCAGCGATCGGTTCACAAATACTCTGTAATGGAGAGCACAAATGAAGAATTTGAATAACAATTGCATTGAAGAGCTCTAACTAAATAGTACAAATTATGTTTTGCTATAAGTCGCGCTTCTCTTAAATATGTTCACGCGCATTTACATAAACCTTATGGCATCTTATTAACAACAAAGGAAATTGTAGCATAGTCACAGGCATAGACATAAAATATATTTAATTATATTATTTGATAAGCCCCAAACGTGTCTTGCATGTGATTCTGGACCTCGTTTACCATGCCATGTTCTAGCAGCCAAAGTGTGCGCCACTTAAGGTTGGGTCTAGGACCTAGAAGTCTGTGCTGCGGAGCGTGGCCTCGACTCAGCGAAGAGCTGTGTTTGCCATTCGCTTGCTGTAGCTATAGGTTAGAGGAGGCTTAAGGTCAGGCAGGAAGGATTATGTCATGTCCGATTGGTAGCAAAAAGATGCCGCACAGGCAGAGCTAGAGACACAGATCAGAGTTATGATTAAAGCTAGCTGTCTTGCCAGAATGGACTTGAGGAGTATAACTCCAAGCACCCAAGAGTTAGGGACATCAAATTTGGCATTTCGACTCTTGTAGAGCGCACACGTATCCGGAATAGGGCATAGGCATGGGCTACTTTTCGCATAGCCCAGGCTGGACATGGAGCATGTATTTAGTTGCACACAATTCCAGAGTTAGTTAATTGGTTGTTAGTTGTAAATATTTGTGTGCTTTCGAGCTACCATTGACTCGACTCTGACGTCACAAATGGCGCGATTAAATGCGCGCAGGCACTTGATTCGCATTCTCTTATCACAAAATTGCAATTGTCGCCGCTTTGCATCTATTGACTCGGCTCGCGGCTCCCCTTTGGCTGACCCACAGCCGTGTCAGGAGTTTATCAGGGCGCCAACGCGGCAATTGCAGTGCTCAGCTGACGTCAAATGGCATCGAATTAGCGCACATCGAGCTGTGAATTCAGAAATCATATAAAAAACAATCAAGCCCAATGGCATGTGGCACGAATCGATGGCTGCAAAACTGATTTTTGCAATCGCGGTTCGATGCTTACAACGCGCCTGCGATGCGATATATATTGGCCGCAGGCTACGCTTTTGCGGTCAGCAATTAGTGTAAAAAACTTGTTGTGGGCGTTGGCACGCCCCCCTGCTGCTTGCCGCTTGCCGCCTGCCGCCTCCTCACTGACAGTTGTGTGCGCCAGACACGCCCACAAGCGCAGCGCCCCCATTGCGGCAAAACTCATTAGCAGCAGCAACATGGCTATTTTATTTCACTTTTTACTTTGTTGGTCACAAAAAAGTGTAAGGGTAAGCGCAAGGGAAAGGGCATGCGAATTCCATGAGGCAACTTGCAAGAGCTTTGAAATTAAGTTTTATATGTTTAAAACAAACTGATAATGTTGAGCTCTATAAAATTGAGCTTTTAGCTTTAACCATTTCCATTAATTAAGCCAGCTTGCAATTAGTTGTAAAATAAGAGTACAGATTCTAGAAACAAAAGTCAATTAGTTTTTCAAGCTTTATAACAGCTTTAATGTGCTTGCTTAAAAGCTTTGTACGAGTGCCAGGCAAAAGCTTCTACCATTTATATAGAACTATTTATTTCTTTTGGTTAGTAAGAAAGAGTGTGAGAGAGATAGATAGAGAGTGAGATATAGAGAGAGAGAGAGAGCTTCAACTTTTTGTTAAACTTTTTCGAGTGGTTTCGATTGAATCAGGCACGGAATATTCAGATATATTAGCTATTTCCATGAAATCGAGCTTTTTCGATTTAAAGACATATGCCTTTAAGCTTAGCTCGAAGACTTTAAGAGCTAAGAGCAGCAAATTTAATATGTAAGCACTTGTTTAGTATATTAGTATGGGTTAGTATGATACCCATTCAGGTTCTTTACAAAATTAGCTAGAGCATTGTGCAGGCTTTGAAAAGCTGAAAAGAATTTGACAGAAATCATCTAAGCTATTCAAGAAGGTATTTCCCATGTCTTTTGTCTTTGTGTGTTATGTCTGGAGGGAAGAGGCAGCGCGCCATTGGATACAAGGTATCTGCTAGTCGAGCACACCCGTCCAGTTGCTTTTAATTTTTTGTTGTTTGGCAGACAGTGTATGTGTGTGCGCGTTTATTTATTTTGTTGTCCCTTTTGCAATTTGCTTCACTTGAAAATTTGCCAAATAAGCGAAAAGTTGCATCCTTGCCGCTGACTCCTGCTGCTCCTGCTCCTGCTCCTGCTCTGCTGTTGTTGCTGATGTTGCTGATGTTGTTGCTTGTTGTTTAACCCAAATTCGAACAAAGTGCATAAATTTGCGACAGACAGAGAGACGCACACATTTTGGCAGGAGAGAGCAGGCATACAGTTGATGGCTGGAAACTTTAAATTGTTTGCGAAAAGCCGAAAAATGTTGTTATTCATTTAAGAGCAAGCGACGTTGCCAATTTTCTGTTTGTCTCCCAGTATGTTTCTTAGGCCCAAATCAAAAATAAAAAATTAAACATTTTTTCAATTCGGGACATGCGAATGGCGAATGGCGCCCGAAGGCCCCCAAGTTCTCCTAAATATAGCAAAAAATAAATAAATGCAAACAAATTGTCGCTAATCTCGCGATTTCATCTGGCGCTTTAATCTGACGGCTGCTGCTGCTGTTTGTTTTTCGAGTATCAATTAATAAAAATAACTAAGAACAAAACCAAAAAAAATAGAAAGACGGGAAAAATAAAATAAAATATAATTCTAAAAATACCCGGAAAATGCAACGCCATAAATCATGGGGTTTATTTTAGTACGCGTCGCACTTTGGCGATAATTAAATAAATAGAAATGTATTCAAATAAAAAATACGCAGTGTTAAAAGCTTTTCGCCGCCGCGACCTCAATAATATTTTCAAAGAAAAAAGAAATAGGTGCTAACAATAAACACAAATTGATGTATTATTGATTTTGTTAGAGAAACAAATCAATTTGCTTTTCTCTCTCACAGGCTTGCGGCGAGGCATATTCTCCTTTAAAGGATAAATAAAGTTATGATTGACTACTGATCAATACGCGACTTCTAAGGATATTAGAAGTTGATCAGCTTTTTGTTATACTCTCATTCAAAGTCTTATAGACTCGCATGCAATTGCAATAAATGTTAATCAATAGAAAGTCATGACCTGAGCAGACTAATCTGTACGATGATTATATTTGTTTCTATATGTCATATTTACACATATTTTTCATTGATTTTACGATTTGCTAGATTCAATTTGTATACCCTGAAGCCAATATTATTATTAGTATTATGGTTGTGTGTACAGGTATGCAACAGGCAGCAGGAAGCATCGCGATTCCACAAAGTAGACACTTCTGATCAGGGCGACGAGTCGATCTTGGCAGAAGGAAGCATCTTCGATGCTTGGACAGCACCTGGCCATGTATGTCTGGCCGTCTATCTCGGACTCGGACTCGGATTCTGACTTCGTTTAGCATATACGGATGGGTATAGAGTATCTGCTAGTCGGGCAGCCTCGATTAGAGCATTTCTACTTGTTTTTATTAGACCTGACTTATTGTCAAATTTCGCATGTGTTTTGAAATGTGAAAAACGTGGCAACTACACACAGTAGACCCCGGCACTAATACACGCGCATCCATAAACAAGTATTTATGTACTCTGAAATGGCTGGCAACATTGCTTCTGAGCAATATTTATGACCTTGTACAGGCAGAGGGAGAGAGAGAGTGACAGAGACAGTTAGAGAGATAGGGTCAAAGGCCATCAAAATGTTGCAATTGGATTTTATGGATTGGCCGCGCATCGTAAAAACAAAAAAATCCTTGTTACTCAATTCATGCGATCGGCCATTTATTCCAATTGAATAAATATGTATATATATATATATATATTCGGCTAAACAGATACATATATATTGCCCAAGTTCATTGATACAAATAACTTATCACATGCAAAAGGTCTGCGGGAAGAGTATCTTCTCGTTGGGGTCTATGTTTGATCTTTTAGCCATCAGATTTGATATTATTGTTGTTGTTTTTGTAGATTGGCATTTTAATTGGGCTGTTGACATTTGCATTAAACTTACGCTTTGCCATGCTGTCTGTCTTTATTATTGTTATTGTTGCTGTTTCGATTGATTTACAAAATATTTGAAATATTGAAATAAACAGCCGCTTATTCAAAATTTAAGCCAAGTGTAGTGGACGAGGCTCTTTAAAGATACTTTCAATTTTAATTCATAATTATGATATAAGCAATTTAACAACATTGGAAGTTTCTATAAGAAAATGTACGAAAGTTTCAGGCAAATGCGACTAGAAGCACCGAAGTTCATTCAGAGCCAACGCCAGGCTTAGGGTATCTGCTAGTCGAACACTCTGCCTTTTTGTTTTGTATTTATTCTCACAACTTGAAGTGCTCTTAAGGAATTAAAAGCAAATATCTTCATTGGGACAGTTGGGGTTAACTGAGCTCAGTTTGTATCGTGATGAACAGAATTCAAAAGTTTTGTTTTTGGCTTGAAACTTACGAATTTAGTGGTTGTTGCATTGTTGTTGCTTTTGGCGGTATATTATCGTTGTTGGTGTTGTTGTTGCTATTGTTGTTCCTGTTGTTGTTGCTTTTAGCGTTTGGCAGTTGCCGCAAGGTAACTGCATTCAAAGCAGTTCGTGCCACTTCTGCAACGACACCTTCTACCAAAAATTGCTCTTGAGTTTCAGTTGCACTGTGGCATGACAACACTTTGAGATTAAGCTTAAGTTCTTGTTGTTGTTCTTGTTGTTGCAGTTTTTGTGCATTATCGGGCTTGTCTTTTTGTTTTCTAGTAGCAGCGCAGCTCGAACCCGATTTTAATTAAAAAAAAACCAACTCAGCCTCAAAGGACAAATTACATGGCCTAATATAGAGATCATATTTAGTGCGCTGTATTATTAATTAATCATTTTTTTCTGTAACAGGCAGACCTGTCTGTATGTCTGTCCATCTATCTATCTATCCATCCA